GCTCATTATAGACTTGAAGTCAATGCACTCAGGTAAAGTTCTGGAAACTCTTCTTCGACTCAAGGAGGAAAATGATGTTCTGCCACTTCTTCATTTTGTTTGTTGTTCAATTATCGTGTCTCACTGTAACAGCCGAGACAGCTAATCAAGTATTAAGGAAAAGGTAGGAAGAAAATTATGCGTATTCTAAGCCGTGTTCTACGAGCGCTGTTCTATGCATGTTTACACGAAATGCGTTCGTACAGTTCCATGCATTAGCTAAATTTAAACTTCGGAAATATGTCACTGAACATTCTAATGGCGATAATTAAGCCAAATTAATACTATATGTTATACATAGCAAATGTCTTAACGTCGACTATTCTTCCTAAAATGTGAAAAAATAAACAGTGTTATTTTAACAACGCATTTCTTATGTAGACGAGCTTTGTCAAGTCAAGGAACAAGTGGTTTATGTCAGGGACTTCCGGGACTGCCTGGACGAGACGGTAAGTAAAATTCAATTTTATTTAGCATTCACCATGATTCAGGGCAATTTGTTTATTATCAGGCCAAGCAAGAATGGGCCGTGAACGTGGTCGTGAATCGAAGGGCCCATATAGCTTTACTATCATCACCGTAAGGAATCTTTGCAGATGTATTACTAATTGCAAACTTTGCATTGCAAACTTATTGCAAACTTTGACAACCGTCTACCTGGTTTAGCTAACATTAAGATAAAACTTTCCACTACCAAAGATTGTTCTGTGTGCAAAATCCGCACGTTCATTTCGTGTCGACTGGACTTGCAAAACGCGGGCTAGACTGGCCTTGCATGTAAAACGCGGACTGGATTGGTTTTGTAAAACGCGGACTGGACGTGGTTTGTTTTGAATACATTCAGTTGCAGGTATTGCTTTGGAAGAATACATATTAGCATAATAGTACGAGACTAAACTACTAGAAGGATTCTGGGTAATGGTCTCCCGAGAAAGTTTTTCGATTGCGTTGACTTGTAACTTCCACGTTTGCCTGTCAATGCTCCTTTAAATTTACCAGAAATTACTCATGATCGAACAAATACCCCCACAAACCCAGCACCTCCCTCCCCCATCGCTACGGCTCTGTGCTGGTACCACCCAATTATAATAAGCTCGTTACGACTCTGCCGTAGTCAATCTTCATTAATAATTGTATTACGTATTGGGCAAGGAATTTCATATTCACAATTCCAGGTAAATTCTAAACGTTCGACGTTCAAATTCAAGGAAAATTCTTTGACAATCTGCCCAAACTACCGGTGCTTTGCAATGCATATGCAATCTCGTTGATATTTTGTGTTTTTATTTTTTTTGTTAGGACGTGATGGCCGTGATGCGACGCTTATGGGTAAGATATAGGTTGTTTACCATTTACATGGAAATTCCAGTGATTCCATACGGAAAGTAAATGGAACATGCATATTTCGAGGGCCCAACCGGAACTTTTCCGGAATGAACGGTTTGTTTGAAAAGGTTGTCCTCTCTTACCGATTGAAACGTTTCAACTGGTGAATTTTGCTATTTATTAAAACTATTTTTTTCACCAGTTCCAGGCTCTTCGCGCTTTAATTCAAACCGGATGGGTTTTCCGTGTAAATGGTAAACAACCCTTCAGTGCCTTCCGGTCAGTCACTCTAAATGGAAAGCGCATAATCCGAATGAGATTTTCTGCACGAAATTTTGCTTACCATTAGCACAATTTCAAATCGGATGGGTTTTCCATGCAGATGGTAAACAACCATAATAATTGTTATAGGTATTATATGTTTTATATTTGCAAAATTTTAAATAATAAACTGTAAATTATAATCATAGTCAGTAATACGAGGTTTTATGCAATCTGAGTGGTTGACCCACGGCTACTCGCCGTATATCAGCTGAAATCAGTGAAATTAATAGAATTGGAACGCTACGTTCAGATAAACTGTTTATCTTATTCTTGAAATCTAATCTGACCCAGACACACGTGTTTATGCCTCACGTGTTTATGCCTCACGTGTTTATGCCTTGCGTGTTTATGCTTCGCGATTCTTTCGCGTAAACAATTAGAAAAAAGAAACAAAAAAGCGAACACGAAGTTTCAGCTAAATAAATACATTAATCGAAAGCTTTGGGCGATGTTAAAAAGCCTTATTTGTAAATTTTAAACCGGTTTTCAAGAATACATATTCATGTCGACGGATTGACCGCGCTCTTTGCATACGTGAAAAGACTGGGACTGGGCATTCAAGTTTGGCTTCAAATCTCCAGTTGGAGGTAGCGTTCCAGTTATATTCATCTCACCGGCTCAAAAACAGCGAGTAGCGAATAACAAGATGGTATTATATTGGTAGCACAACCACAACCTGTGATTTTTGTGAATCAAAAACGAGCAAAATGTTTGGAAAACGCCTAAAAATTTTGAAAATTAATCCTCGAAAGTGCATTTCCAGCTCTTTCCCACAATAAGTTCTAAAGTAAACAAGTGTATATTATGCTTGTGATGTTTCTGTGAGTGTACATACACATCGGACAGGCTTGAAAAATATGCCTATAAAATATGCCTTACATTGATATCGAAGGAACTAGATTCGGTTCCGAAATATCACATACTCGAACCGACCTGACCGCGTAGCTCAGTTGGCAGAGCATTGGGCTAGTATTCCAAAGGTCGTAGATTCGATTCTCACCGTGGCCAGGCATATTTCTCAAGCCTGCCCGGTGTGGATATACACTCAGAGAAACATCACAAGCATCATATTCACCTGAGTACATTGCACTAACACAAAAAATATCAAGTGTATATTGCCTGATAAACAGAAGATATATTTCTGTGAAACACATGATTAACTGGAGAATTAGTGATGATTCTTGTGATAATTATCGACTATCGTATTGTAAAAGAACAATTACACAAATATGCAACGGTCAAGTCGACCGTTACTCTTCTCTGAAAATCACGTCAGCACGCTTATAAAACTGCGACACTATTGAAGAAAAACATTTTCAAAACCAACATCTTTCTGAACTGATAATATTGGTTAAGCCAATGACAGTGTCACGTAAAAAAACGAGAAATATATTTCAAGCTTGCATGCAATGATAGTATAGCCAGCTTAACATGGACGGCTATTAGTATTTATTATAGTACTAGCGTACCAATTTCCCAAACAAGCACGAAAAGCATATGCTTCATTATCAAAACAATATTGCCCCCTCTCCCTCGCTTGCGCGGTCCCTGCAAGTTGCGACAGGGTCACACCGATGTGGCTGAACAAACTAGCTGACAAAATATTGCAACAGAGAAGAGTGTATTATTGTTGCAATTAAATAAATGGTTTATATAAGATTATATCATAAAACAGTTTTACCATCCGCTTTTGTCGTATATGGCTGACATACGACTCAGTGCGCGCATTTTGAATCGCTGCTACTGGCACAGACTCGGTACTACGCCTCTCGTTAGCTACCAATCAGCTTGAGCTCATGGTTATGTATTTGAAACGTTAATTTTTAATTATATATTCAGTCATGAAGAATATATTTGACTTCCTCAGGTCCGCCAGGAAAGCGAGGTGAACCTTGACCGACAGGGGCACAAGGGGTAAAAGGGAACTCAGGCGGTGTGGTGTACACACGGTGGGGAAGAAGTGACTGTCCGCAATCTGGCAACACAACCATGTTGTACTCAGGTAACTGGTTTTCAAATACTTACACGCGTAAAAATTGAGAACTCAACAACTTGTTCCAGGTTGATATCAACAGACGTGAACAAGGTTGTGCGGCCCACTGTGAACAGTATTGTCAACATGTTGTTACAGCATTGTTCAACTGTAACAACATGGTTGACAACTTGTTCATTGTTGGCCGCACAACATTGTTCATGCACGCCTGTCGATATCAACTTGGAACAACCTGTGCGTTTTTAGCCGTGTACTAAAGGAAATGTACCGTGTAGACTCACTAGATTGGCACACATCTTCATTTAAAGCACTGTTCACATAGGATACAGACTGCTCAGCGAGTACATAGCTCTCGTTAAATATGTAGCGCAGGATTCTGTTGACTTAGAAGTTCGGTAGACTATTACATTTGTGATAAAGCAATTAAAAGTCGTTAAAGGGAAATGGCAATATATTTTTTTATTTCGTCGTTTGAAAGAACTTTTAAAACTACATGGAATACTCTTTTACCGTTTTTTTCATATCTTGCTTACTTCTACAAATATTTTGATCGAAAGAAATGAAATGTCCGCCATCTTCATTTTTTGTAGATATGCATGTCACGTCACAACAGGTGTCATGCAATGTTTATTTATACAACAGAGGTCACGCAATATTATATCACTGATACCTTTAAAGACGGTTTGTATCCCCATAGGCGGGCTCATTAATTATTAGTTTTTATTATTGCCATTTTGCAATATTGTTATGAAACGCTCATTACATAATTGAATATTTTATGTAAATATACCTCCACACTTAAACTGACAACTTTCTGCATTTTTATGATCGATGTTTAGGTGTAATGGGTGGATCATGGTATCAACATACTGGCGGTGGTTCAAACTATCTCTGCCTACCATTGAATCCAATATTTGACAAAATCACTTCTGGTAGTCAGGGACACAGCTATATGTACAGTACTGAGTACGAAACATCTAGTCATCCTAACGTGTTTCCCCAAAACGTCCATGACCATGATGCACCTTGTGCAGTCTGCTACACCAAGTCACGTGGTAGTCACCTGATGATTCCAGCTCGTAATGTCTGTCCCTCAAGTTGGACCTTGGAGTATGAAGGTTATCTCATGTCAGAATATTATGGCAACAACAATGGAAGAACCCAGTTCGTTTGTGTTGACGGGAACGCTGAAGGTACAACTGGATCTCAGAGTGGTCAGAATGGTGCACTACTGTATTTTGTTGAAAGTTCCTGTGGCTCTCTTCCTTGTCCACCATACGCCGATGGTAAAGAGCTGACCTGTGTTGTTTGCACAAAATAGTTCGATTGATGGCAGAGTATACTACAGTTTTTTTAACAAAAAATTTACCTTGATCTTTTAGTGTATTGCTGTTATTTTTATAAATCGAACATTTAATTTGAAGCTTAATGCAATTGCAGACTTTTATAAATAGAATTGCGTTGTTTTTGGACACGATATTGTGATCTGCACATTCATATTGCACCTTACAAGTCTGGTTCACACTAGCAATTTCGTCGGCGAATTTTCTCCACCTGGCAAATGTGATCGAATGAATGACATGTAAGCGACTGTATACTTTTATGTTCAAGTTCACTCATTCGCATCCGTCGGAAACACGCCGATAAAATTGCTAGGGTTAACCAGGCTTTTAAAACAGGAACGACCCAGTTTTTACAAAATCATAGATTTGGGATTATATCATTTTAATAAAAAGCAGGAATTTCAGCGCTTATTAACCACCATTTATAGAGATTAACATAGGCAATTCATAACCTGCACTCTGATGATGGGGGAGTCATAGAGACACATTAAGCTTAAAATCAATGAACTCTTTTTGTCTCACTTCAGACAAATAATAATAGTAATGTCACAATATGCAACAAACTTTATAAGCAGTGCACATTGTCTCAACTAAACAAAAGAATATGTGAATAATATAATTACCAATATCTCCAACTTGCACATTTCTAATCTCATTATAAATCACATTTGCAACTGCTTGCTTTAATTATAATTAGTTATAAAAACAAGAAAACTTTTCGTGGAATGTGTTTTGTTTCATATGTGGTTCCTTTGGCGGCCTATAATCTCCTGCTTAGAAGATTCCACAGACCCTGCAGAAAGAGACCTTTCCATGAATGACCTTTGGGGGAAGCAGGGACAAAGGTGAAACAGAGGAATAGAATTTGTAGTTTTGAAATGACATTCAGTACCCCCAATAAATCAATATTTAAAATGATGTGGATTAAATCTGACCCAATAAGCCCTGAAGCCGGTTTTCCACTGGCGATTATTTCGCGCGAATCGACTTTATTCTTTTGTCTAAAACTAATTAGTTCCAAATGTTTCCGGCCGAAAGCTCACGGACAAAAGCGAATAGTCGCTTCGCGCGAAATAATTCGCTAGTGGAAAAGTGGTCGATGTAGTCCTGAGACTGAATCACTGATCTGAAATCGTGGACTGGATTGAGTATCCTTTTGAATTCAATGAGCCAGTTTGGAAGACAGGATATTTATAATGAGAAAAGATTTTCAAATCAAATTATTGCGTGTTTTAAATATTTAGCTTAACTATGAAGTAAATGTAAAATGTCCTAAAAATGACCTAATCGTTAACAGGATTATATGTAACCGATGCCGATAACCCATCAACGAATGACTGAATTAATGTAATCCGCTTATGTTAAAAGACGTAAATCTATTCGCTAATGCATGACTGTTGATTCAACGTCAAGCAGATTTGTTTTGCTGCTTCTGTTTGTATTTGTAGAAAAGTTAGCGTATGGTTACCTGTGTTTTCAGTGAAGGTCAAAATGGTTGGCAATTTCTGTTGTCTTTCTATTGTTTATAAGTGGTAAATCTCACTGTTCTAGATGGTACCCAGTCACTATTATTTTGGCATGTTTGCATTCTTGCAACGGGCCTTTTTGTTTAAATATAGCTCAACCATGCATGCAGTCGATCGTGGAATCAACAACGAGACCAAATATGGTGATCATGCATAGGACATTGGTGTCATGAACAAAATTCTTGCAAAATCTCGATCCATAGCACCATTTAAAGCGAAATGTAGTTACAATCACTGTCAAATGATATGCGATTAAATCTGAAGGTATTGTATGTCCCTACCGGGAAATATATTAACAACAGGATGGTGGACTGAATGCTCATTATAGACTTGAAGTCAATGCACTCAGGTAAAGTTCTGGAAACTCTTCTTCGACTCAAGGAGGAAAATGATGTTCTGCCACTTCTTCATTTTGTTTGTTGTTCAATTATCGTGTCTCACTGTAACAGCCGAGACAGCTAATCAAGTATTAAGGAAAAGGTAGGAAGAAAATTATGCGTATTCTAAGCCGTGTTCTACGAGCGCTGTTCTATGCATGTTAACACGAAATGCGTTCGTACAGTTCCATGCATTAGCCGTAAATTTAAACTTCGGAAATATGTCACTGAAAATTCTAATGGCGATAATTAAGCCAAATTAATACTATATGTTATACATAGCAAACGTCTTAACGTCGACTATTCTTCCTAAAATGCGAAAAAATAAACAGTGCTATTTTAACAACGCATTTCTTATGTAGACGAGCTTTGTCAAGTCAAGGAACAAGTGGTTTATGTCAGGGACTTCCGGGACTGCCTGGACGAGACGGTAAGTAAAATTCAATTTTATTTAGCATTCACCATGATTCAGGGCAATTTGTTTATTATCAGGCCAAGCAAGAATGGGCCGTGAACGTGGTCGTGAATCGAATGGCCCATATAGCTTTACTATCATCACCGTAAGGAATCTTTGCAGATGTATTACTAATTGCAAACTTTGCATTGCAAACTTATTGCAAACTTTGACAACCGTCTACCTGGTTTAGCTAACATTAAGATAAAACTTTCCACTACCAAAGATTGTTCTGTGTGCAAAATCCGCACGTTCATTTCGTGTCGACTGGACTTGCAAAACGCGGGCTAGACTGGCCTTGCATGTAAAACGCGGACTGGATTGGTTTTGTAAAACGCGGACTGGACGTGGTTTGTTTTGAATACATTCAGTTGCAGGTATTGCTTTGGAAGAATACATATTAGCATAATAGTACGAGACTAAACTACTAGAAGGATTCTGGGTAATGGTCTCCCGAGAAAGTTTTTCGATTGCGTTGACTTGTAACTTCCACGTTTGCCTGTCAATGCTCCTTTAAATTTACCAGAAATTACTCATGATCGAACAAATACCCCCACAAACCCAGCACCTCCCTCCCCCATCGCTACGGCTCTGTGCTGGTACCACCCAATTATAATAAGCTCGTTACGACTCTGCCGTAGTCAATCTTCATTAATAATTGTATTACGTATTGGGCAAGGAATTTCATATTCACAATTCCAGGTAAATTCTAAACGTTCGACGTTCAAATTCAAGGAAAATTCTTTGACAATCTGCCCAAACTATACTGGTGCTCAATCTAGAAACCAGGGGCGGATCCAGACCGATGCCAACGATGCGAATGCATCGGTCAAAATTGAGAAATCATGTTGCTTGAAATAATATGTCGTCAATACTTAGTCAAGCACTCAGTAATAGAATATCTTTGAATCTCTCCAGCTATCAAACCGCAAATATTTGCTTAAACTTGACTCCATGTGACTGTCCATGTCGGGAATACACTATTTAGGATGAAATCCAATTTAAATTGTCTCAATAACAGTCGAAATTGTCAAAATAAGTCCAATATGCGACGT